CAGGCTTCATGTAGATGGTCTCAAGACCACCAAGAATACCGGCAGCAAGCTTCGAACGGAAAGGGTTCCAGATCTGCAAAGTCCAATGTTAGTCTTTGTCAAAGGCCACAAGCGGGAAAGTCGTGGAAACGTACGCGGTACTCAGTCTTGGTGGAAGCACCACCCTCCTCCTTGGAGGCGTTCTCGACAGAGATTCTCTTCTCGCCATAAACGGACTCGCCAGGGACGAGGTTGACGGTAGCGAGGAGATCCTCCTTACCACCACGAGCGACGAAGACACCCTTGTGACGATGAGGCTCGACAATGACCTTCTTGCCGGCAGCGCCACCCTTGGCACCACCGCGGGCACCACCGCGACCACCACGGCCAGGGGGACTATAGTCGCAATGTTAGTCGAAGTCTTTTGACGTTATCAGCAGATTGGGATATGTAAGACGTACCCGCCACGACCACGAGGAGCACCACGACCACGGGGAGCACCACCACGGCCACCTATTAAGCCAATGTCAGTAAAGCGCTGTCGTCGCAATGATTGTTGTTGCCATCGTATGTAGGGTCGGGTGCGATGTGAAGTTCGACTGAAGTCGTCATCCCAATGCGAGTGGTCAAGAGACATGCATAGCGACCACGGGACGCAGCAGACTCGAGACAACTCACAGGATAACGTACAGAACCAACGACATAGCCGCAGACACCGTTCAACCGATGGCATTGAGGCCAGACTCACCACCAAAGCCACCGCGGCCACCACGATCACCACCGCCGAAGCCACCACGGCCACCACCGCGGCCACCACGATCACCACCGAAGCCACCGCGACCACCGCCACGGGCGCCGCCTCTGCCACCACGCTCAAAGCCCATTTTTATAAAATGTGTCGGTATTGATGAGTCGGAGTCGGTATAAGTTGCGATTCTGGGCCGAAACGCGTTGTAAGAACTGTCGTGCGAGGCACAATGGGTTTAGAGTTGTCGCGCGGCGCTGTCTAGAGACTCGGAAAAGAGCTTTTGCTGGAGCTGGGTGCAAAATTTCCTGGACATGGATTGAAGAGAAAAAAAAGCGGGGCACAGAGGCTCATTGCTGGAGCACTTTTTTTTCCGGTCGAGGCCTTTTGCCTTTGCCATTGGCTCCTTCACTGGGCGTGGCGGTCGAGGTTCTCCAACTTGTTGCAGAGGCTATCGTACACGGCCGGCAGTCCAGGCGCCAGGCTGTTATCAACGCTAGCACTTACTATCCCCGCGTGCACGTGCCTCAGGCAAAGTGATGGTCCGCACGAGCCACCTGCGCAGTGCCCACAGAGCCCTAATCGCGAAAATCGGTTTTTGTACGCCAAAATTGGAACCCATCACCACCTCCGAACATCACACTTGGTCGATTTCCCCGTCCTCTCATCGACAAGCAGGCAAGATGGTGAGTAAATTCCTGCGAAACCCGCCGAAATCGAGAATTACCGCCGTTATTTTGCTTCAGGACAGTTTCCGGGCTTCTGCAGCCGAAATGACGACGAAATTCTCGATGGGCGACAATCACGGCTTTGCGAGCTATCCGAGCACTTGGAGGAGAGGGAATCGCTGACCGAGTCTTGTTCAAAATCGCAGGTTCGGTACGCTGCGACTGAGATTGCCCCGGCTAAGTCCGCCCGCTCGCGCGGCTCTTACCTCCGTGTTTCTTTCAAGAACACCCGTGAGACCGCCCAGGCCATCAATGGCTGGAAGCTCCAGCGTGCTCAGAAGTTCCTCGAGAACGTTCTTGAGAAGAAGGAGGCCGTCCCCATGAGACGCTACGCTGGTGGCACCGGCCGCGCTTCCCAAGGTACGACTACTCGAGATTCAAAATGCACAAATACACTCGAACCGGTACATCATGCGACGACAACGACAATTGGGGAGGATGGTTGGTGGGGGGAGAGGGGGGAATTGTCATCATGATGGGACCGCGATCGACCGATACGAAACCGCGAAACGAATGGAGGACATGGAAGACACGGTGCTGACCGTTTCTTCATCATATAGGCAAGCAGTTCGGTGTTACCCGCGCCCGCTGGCCCGCCAAGTCCGCCGAGTTCCTCCTCACTCTCCTCAAGAACGCTGAGGCCAACGCCGATGCCAAGGGTCTCGACACTGGCAACCTCGTTGTCAAGCACATCCAGGTCAACCAGGCCCCCAAGCAGCGCCGCCGCACTTACCGCGCTCACGGTCGCGTACGTTTAACCCCCGAGATACACCCCGATTTCTGTTTCTGCAGCAGCAGGCAGACGACCAGCCGACCATGGGCTAACATTCTACGTTCAGATCAACCCCTACATGAGCAACCCCTGCCACATCGAGCTCATCCTCACTGAGGCCGATGAGATCGTCCAGAAGTCCGAGTCCGTTGTCCGCGAGGAGGCCCACCTTACCTCCCGCCAGCGTGGTGCTCGCGTCCGCCGTGCCATCACTGCCGCTTAAATGCGCTTTGATAGCTAGGTGATTGGACGAGGGGATGTTTTGATTGAGGGCTTCACTTTTTTTCCGGAACGGTGTACGCGAGCATGGCATTTTTCGGGTCAAGGTCACGATTCCAGGGAAAAAGGGGTCGATCATGAATACTCAATAAAAGAATTTGAGAAAGCATGAAACGGCGAAAACAAGCAATCATTCAATTCCTGGCGTAATTGCCAACGGGACGCCAAACAAACCTCTTCGCGGGTTACCTGGGCTCTTTGAAGAGTGGCTGTGACGTACATGTCTGCCCCTGATGCAGAGCCGCTTGATGTTCAGGTAGCTAGCCTTCCCGAAACGATACCCAATCCAGCATTCCCGAGTTCAGTCTGGATGTGCCTTCATTGCAGCGTGTGAAGTGATGTTTGAGCAGACACCGTTGCTGTTGTGGTTTCGCCACATTGGGTATTTTGGGTATATGACAGTCGTAGCCCTTATGATATCATATCCCTTTGTATGAAATCCACATGTACAACTAAGGCTTTAGCAACGCACATTGTGTCCCCTAAACACCCAACGTTGCTCCCAATGACGAATCAGGGGCTTATATAGTCGTAATCATACACATAACTCAACAGATCCAGCGCTAGACTTGGTATCTAATTAAGGGTGACCCTTCAGCCCTGCATCTCTACGTCTTCCGCCTCTCCACCTTTCCTCGCCCTCTGTTCAGCTGCCCTCTTCTCCATCTTCTTCTTGCCCTGGTTTACCCAGTCCTCATACGCACTTCCCCCCGACGCAAGCTTCTGCGATACGACACCCTTGAGAATCTCTCCCGCGAACCCAACAAAGTTGTGTCTCCTCAGGGCATTCTCAAACCGCCAAGCCTCACGCTTGCGCTCCTCGCTCGCCAACAAGTCCTCATCCGCAAACTCACGCGCCCGGATCCGCAAGTCGCGAATCATAGCCAGCAGGTTGAACCGGATCTCGCTGGCATCATACCTGGCAATGCGCCGCTGCAGAACGTTCATAACCCTCTGCGGGAAGTCTTCCTGGGTGCACGCGCCGTGGCTGATGGGCGCCGGCTGCAGACCGTCGAGCTCGTAAAGGGTGCCGCCGATGGGCGAGTAGGCAATAAAGTGGAATGCATCTCCGTCTTCCTCGTCGGGCCGACGCTGTGTCTCGTCGATAAAAGGGCTGCTGCGCGCAAACGAGTTGTGCGTGTCGCGAATCAGCTCCGAGTTGGAGAGCGCTTCGCCGCGGATTTCGGCCGGCAGCGCGATAGTGAACTCGCGGAAGTCGCGAAGCTTGTCCCCGATGTCGATGTACCCCGCATCACCTTCTTGGGAGACGGACGGGTCGGCCTTGTTGAGGAGCACGCTCAGGAGCGCTTGCGTGCCGCACGCGTTCTGGATGGTCTGGTGGGCGAAGAAGAGTCGCTCGCTGGCGTCGTAGTCGAAGGCGCCGTCGAGTGGCTTGTCGGTGCCTCGGTATGGCTCGTTCGTAGGGTACTTGAAGAGGAAGATGACACCGTAGACGGGATGGAGCTGCGCGAGCGCGTCGGGTTCGAGGGAAAGGAGTTCTTCAAATTGGACGCCTTTTACGCCGAGGTTCGTGAGGAGATCAGTGAAGACGCCCTTGAAGTTAACCGTCAGTCATTATTGTTGCTACAGGAGTTGTGCCTGCGTGTGACTCGATGTGGACAGATAGTTAACATACCGCATCGGACTCGACTGTGGACAAGTGGTTAGCTATGAAAGGACTGTAGCTGGTGTGTTGAAGCCCAACTTACTGGTATTCCATCCACCACTCATTTTGACACGAAGTTTTGCAGACGGAAACCAAAGGGTGGTCTGAAGCCGTATGTGTTGGCGTAAGATGCTGTATTGGAGAGAAGTTGCTAGGTTATGGCGATGCTTGGAGCTGTCCAAGGATCGAGGGGTAAATCAGAACCGCAGGACGGAGGTAGGTTGTATATCACTCGAAAATGTTTGAACTGACGCTTCGGTCACAGGCCCTGATTGTTATACAAAGATCAAGTGTGCTAACGTCTTACGCCATGGAACAACCTAAAATTGCAAAACTCGCGGCGAAGATGGTGTACTGCGATGATGCAGCTCGCGGACCTTCACAACAGCGATAAGATAAGCAGGTCCCCCATCCACCTACTGTTGGCGCTTGATTGAACGGGTGGCGGCAGGCAACTGACGCCTGACAGCTGCCCATCAGCTGGAGAGGGCATAAGCGTCCTTCAACAACCGTCGGTTCAAAGTTCATGAAATGGTCAAGACAAGATCTGATTTGCATGGGAACGACGACGCATTCCGAGATATAACCTCTGTTTTCCGATTTGCCATCATCGCGACTTTCAAAGTCACGGAGCTGACGACTCCATCAACATGAACGTCTGGCATCATCCCATGTTTCCTACCGTCTGCGCAACCACGGACAGCGCCCAGCATGAAGCTGAAGTGCTGAACGCCGTGGACACTCTCAACGGGAACATGATCCACAACTTAGCTATGAACTAGCCGAACGCAACATCAAAAAAGTGCAAAAAAGGGCAAGAAAAAAAATAAGTGACAAGAGTGGGATTCGAACCCACGCCTATTTCTAGACCAGGAAGCTCAGAAGAGCGAGTTCAAGTAGACCTGAACCTGGCGCCTTAGACCGCTCGGCCATCTTGCCATTGTAGATGTTGTGATTTTTGGAGAAGAGCTTAGTGCTTACAAGCAGTCTCTTCTCAAGAGGAGGATGTCTGTGATGGTCAAGTTGGATCTGTGCGCTTTCTATGAGGAAAGTGCAAGTTGCAGACAGGTTGAATGTAATTTCTTCAACGTTCTACCGAGGGAGGTGCGTTGCAGGTGTTCTGACGAGGCAGGAAGTATCACAGCACGTAAAATTATGGGCAGGCGATGCAAAAGGTTCAGGTAAAAGCGACGAGGTATCAAAGACGAAGAACGAGGAAGCTAATTCACATCGGATGGATGGGAAGTGATTCTCATATGCAATGCCCATGTGGCAGATGGGATGAAAGACTCAAGACCAGATGGAAAACCAAAGGATTCGCTAGGAGTTCGCATGCGCCACCACAGGAGCAACGAGTAGGAACTCGGATGCGGAAGTTCACATAGACCTCAACCTGCTCGGCCATCGCGCCTTTCGACGAGAGTATGACCCGGCCGTAGAACTGATGTGCAACATACTGCTGAAAGGTAAGTTGGCTCGAGACGTCTGCTTGATTTTCTCGTGCAACGATACATTTATTTTATGCATTTCACTCAATATCACGGGCTTGCTATCATCTACCAACAATTTGGGAGGCGAAAAGGGGTGAGCGGGTGGGTTTAAACTACCGGTATCTGAAAGACATATCCTTTCCGTTCGTTCAAGACTTCATCTCTGATTTCCCAGGCGTTCTGGGCGTCGTTCATGGAACAGTTTTGATGTGAAAAGCCCCAGCTTACCATGGTTATGGTACGTCTTGTACCCTGACAAGTTCAAGAACCGATCTATGGCATATCGATGTGACTTACGTTACTTGGGGACTCCGATGGAGCATCATCCCAGAGCCCAACCTGACAGAGAACACGAAAATATCGGATTATTCTTCAGGTCTAAGAAACGGACCGTCTGACTAGTGGCAAACCTGGCGAATACACACCCTATAAGGTGGCAACGTCTAACGATGTCTAAACCATATACCCATCAAATGACAAACCAACTTCAATCCCCATCTATACATACCTACTACTCTATACGAGATGATGGAAACATTGCCTCAAGCAATCTACTCTTTACATGTCCAAGGTGCTTTGCTTCGATACCATCAATGAAATCCTTGAGAGGAGACGAACCTGAAGATTATCAGTGCTATGCCTAACAGAGTTTTCACACCTATTTTTGAGTGATGAGTTCCGGTGACTTTTAACAAAGGAAACAAGTGAAGACATGATGGTTCTGTCGACAAGTGCCGAGAAAAAAAAAGCCAATAAAGGCTGGCCAGTGATATAACAATATGCACGTATGGTCGCTGCTCGTCAGTCCCGCCTAATCAAACTCAATCATCACGTTTCTCTTCACAGTCATTCGAGCCTGGCTATGTCCCTTGTCACCATCTGTGACCGGGTCCCCAAGTGCTCTTCTCTTTTTGCTGCTAGTAGGCCAATGTACCGCCTCCTCATTCCTGATGGATCGTTTATTGAAGAATCTCTGGCAGATTCCTATTATTCCCATTGGGAGAGCATATCGTGCTGCCACTTCTGGATTCGATGTCACTGTCGGATAACCAGGGCAGAGTCTGCCTACTTCGTGGAGATGGGTAGGTAGAAGCAGGTAACCGAATAAAGGGTCCTGACACCTATAGGCGTGCTGGGGGCACATACTAGACGTAGTGACTGAAGGACTCCAGTATGACCATCAGTACCTAGTTATAGGTGAGTAGGTAATTGAGTGGAGGGAACAGACTGAGTGAGTGAAATTGTCCAGGACTGACCAGAGGAAATTGGTTTTTTCTTTTTTTTTTTGTCCTTATCTATACTAGCCATCTACCAAGTAGGTGAGCCTATTAAATTGAATGCTATGGTACACTCATCCAGTGGTAATCATTCTTGGGCATTTTTTGCCGTAACTTGCCGTGCCCTAGATCTTCGGAGACCATATACGAGTTCTTCCCCGGCAAGGCTCGTTAGCATTGTTGGAGAACCGACGAGTCAATGCCTGAATATTCAAGCCAGAAGGAATACTATCAGCGCTGAGTCCTTTGGCGATGAAGATTGTTCGGCATAGAGCAAAGCTGCTTGGGACATGCGACTGGTGTGACCACATCCGGAGCAGTGCCCATTGCGTTATGACTCGCGCTTTCCCCTTTTCATGGCTGCACCTTCTTCGGTTTGTATATCACGGGGCTTGAACAAATTGTTCTTTCCATTTTCACATGGTATTCGCACTTTCCTGTATACGGCAAGGACTCCAAGAGCCTGTCTTCCTAAGGAAGGTACGGGTCGCTGTTCAAAACGGCGCCATGGGACGCTCCCGCCGCCCACGACTGCTGGACTGATCTTGATCATGGAAGTGATGTTGAACCAAAATCAAATCAGATGGGTTAGGTATGTTGGAATAATTACTAAACATCTCTTGTGCTTCCATATCTTTTGAATTCTTAGTTCTTTGGCTGTTTGCTAGACGGTCACAATGGCCACGGTGTTCTTCAGGGGCCGTCCAGGCATGAGATGGCTCGAGTTGCAGTGTTCAAACATCTGAGAGTATTGCCCTTTCATGCTATCGTTGATTCCCATGAGGCCAACACCGTAATAATTGTCTTCTAGAAGAGTCAGTCTGGTCATCACTTGATTCCGGTTCTCTCTTCCTCAAATATCCCAAGCATCACTCGTTCTCCCAAGTCAGACAAGACACGTCTTTCTCCCTTCGATCCAGCATAAAAAACAATTTTCTAAGAATAGAGTATCGTCATTCGATGTTTTTAGACTATTTTCTCCAGTATATATGCTTGGTCAGACAAGTTCTTGCCGAGTGACCATCGTGACCGGTAGGTAACTCGTAGTACCTAAATGTTTAGCCACTGACGACCAACCAGCAGCTCTCGAAATTGCCAGATATGAACACAAGAGGTATTCCAACTTCTCGCAATCTTTAATTCCGAATTATCTCTTCCTCATCGCGGCCAAGATGAGTATTGATATTTCGAGATGCCGTTTATCCGGACTGCGACGACAGTCTGAGCAATGTTCACACCTTGCCAACTTGGTCTTTCATTGCAACTTACCTTTACCTACTTGGCATGACGACCGTGCCCCAATCTAACCTATCAACCATGTCGAGCGGCCTAGAAGTGAGAGTTAGTTGCTTTACCTCTTGAAGATTTCGATCCGCATATTATACCCAGATCCACACCACATGCTCATGCCAGAGGACGGGGTAGAGTGGTAGTGAGGTGTGCACAAATCCACGAACTCATGACTGACCGGGTTAAATGGGTTAGTCTGAAACAAGCTTTGGGATTCCGGGTGAACCTCCGGTTAATACTATGTGTTGTGTATGTCATATCATGCGTATAACGAAGGAGGAGGGATGAGGATGTAGACGGGCAGGTACAGCTAGTGTAGAGGTAGACATTCCCATACAGTATCCCGGACAGAGACTACGTGTCCTAGTCCCAGTTCAGTGGAAATAGGCATGTAGGTAGAGAGCGGTAGAAAAAACAGTTCCTAGTCAGGTACGAACAAACCTTTGGGTCGATGTACCTACCTTCACCTACCATGATCTGCTTCGGACAGTCCCTTCCCGAGCAGCAGACCGCCTACATAGTAGCCTGGGCCTCATTAGATCTTTTGATCGTCCCCCGAGTTCCTCAAGGGAATTTCAAAGCACATCAGAAATTGCATATCCTCGGGTTTCACCCAAGGGTTGGGTTCGGAATCCACGGGGTGAATTGATGGGATTGTTCGGCTTGGCCCCTCTCCGGAACCCGAAAGTAGGTAGCAGATGATGTGAGTATGATGGGAATTCTACCCCCATGTGGAAAAGAAAAAAAAGCGACTGGCCCGACCAACTGGGACGCGAGAGAGAGTGAGAACCGGGGGACCAGAACGCAAGACACTCAAAAATCGTCGATGACAACTTGAATTCCGATCGATTGTGGATGTAAATCGGGCACATCGACTTTTATTTAAGTCGCGCTGGACGGGGTTGTGACTGGACAGATGAGATCCGAGAGCCTCATTAAGCGAAAAGCGAGGGTCGAGTGTATGAGTGAGAGAGTGATGATCCTGATCGACTTCCAGTTTGGGCCCTTTTCTCCTCTTTTCGTGGCCAACCATTCGCTCGGAAACGTGGAAAGGGGGCTCCTACACTAAGTGATCCTGATCCTCGACAGTGATCGGATGTGATGGTGAGGAATCGGTACTCTCGGGTCCTTCACCCTCCTCTCCATCATCTCCTGAGCTCCTCAAGGGTGCTGAAAAAGGGTCATGGTGATTAAGATGGGTTTTTGGTGGGCTGAGGAAGTGATCGGCGGTCTTGTCGAAATTACACCGTCAGCCCATCCGCTGCTGTGGTACCGGGGAAAGAAGAGCCCCAGGCTAACTGAACTCGTGTTTGGTGTGGGCGTCTGGTAGTACCTAAAGGTAGAATAGCACATGAGAATAGGTAAGTTTGGAAACCTTCAAGGATGGATTTTCCGGGGCACACCTGCTGAGCTGGGTGCCAGTAACAATCGCTTGTGCAGGTTCGTAAGCGTTGTGTTAGTGAACCTGCACAAGCGATTATTACTGGCACCTAGAGGCAAGTGCTTGGGAAAGATCGATGGCAGGGTGTTTTCAGAAGATGTCAAGAGGCGGAAAAGTCTGTCGAGGTGTAATTTTCGTGTGGTTCGATAGGAAAACTTCTGGTCTGATATGGTATGATCTGCACTCTTCCCGTCTTCATACTGCCACACTGAATGATATGCATCTAAGTGGCGAATAACAGCCGATAGACAGTATAAAGGCTTGATAAGGCAACTGTCATCTCGATATGAATTTGAGACATGCTGTCAATGTCACTCGTGGCCGCATAGTAAGATCCCATGAGGGATAACCGTAGGAGCAAATCATCCGCCCCCATATCATAGAACCTAGACAGATGATTTCGGAGACATACTAAGGTATGAAACGGCGAATAGTGGATAG